CCACTCTTCCCACTGTTGCCCGCCTTGCAAAAGGGCACATCTGGCTGCTTTGCAAACCAGAGGTTCAGAATTGATTCTCTGGCAGGCCCTAGGGTGTTGGGTTCTTAACCTGGGATCCCCGGGAGCAGAAAAGGGGGGAAACATAACCATTTCATTTTTCCTTGTCTTCAACTGAAATTCAGCATTTCCCTCAAAAACGCGTGAGTTTTGTCCCCCCAGTGGAAGTCATAGACATTTTCTCAGCACGTTAAGCTGTGGGGGGGAGTCTCAAAGTTCCATGTATGCCTATCACTACTTCGAAATTATGACAATTATAATCCTGTTGCTAGACCTTGTTATTTACTTATCAGGAGGGCCTGTCGCCTGGCCACCTTGGTGAAGGGAAGGGCCAAAGAACCCCCACGTGAGGGAGCATCTGAAACGCACACACTTCAGCTCAGGCTTTAAATCTTTCTCTTTGTCACCTGGCCTCTCCCCAGCCCCAGGATTCCAGGACAGTGAGGGGACTCTTGTACTCTCTGGCCTCCACGCTGCAGCCCCGGGGCCCTGGAGTGACTACAGCCAGCCTCTCTCCCAGCCAGGCAATCCCTGTGGCTGAGGGGGCTCCCAGCTTGCCTGCCCGCCTCTTCTAATGAGTGAGGACCCTCTCAGCCCTTCCCGGTTCTCTGGGGTCTGAGGGGGAAAGGCTTTCTACATTACCTTCACTCCCGCAAGGGAATTCCCTCGGGTTCCAGCACCTGGCCTGTCTACACCAGGGAGCACATCACTTCTCTGTTTCCCCCAGAGAATGCCGAGCAGGCACCGGGGCTAGACCCAGTTCTAGGCACCGGGGGGTGATCAGTGAATAAAGCGGAGACCCCTACCCTCGAGGGGCCGTCTCTGCCGTCCCAGGTGGGCGGGTGAGGCCTTGGCATCTGAAGGGGGAAGCTGGGAATTCAGAAATTCTCACAACAAAACCTATGACAACTGTTGTTACGGAATTCCAAGTCCAGGTTTGGGAGTCAAACCGAACACGGAGTATTTTGCTTTATTCGTGGCACATCACGTAAATATCAGTTCCGGGGCTTGCTGAGGTAAACACACGTGCAGGCGTCACTCTGCCCTGAGGAAGGGAGCAAGGTCACTCTGTCCCCATCTCCAAAGGGTCCACCCACAACAGCAGGGGACGGGGAAAGCCAACAGGGTTTGTGAGGCCCAGGGACCTGGGGTTGAGCTACTTGCTCAAGGGGTGACAAAAAGAGATGACATTAACATTTTAT